AACAATTCGCGGAAGAAGAAAAAAAAGAGGAATCCTATCTCCGCAGCAGCATCGTGTTTTCACTATAAAGAAGCAAAGAGAGACGAAATCTCGTAGTGGTGTATCAGAGTAATACCGATTTTCCACGAGGCCGTGGAAATCCTTCCAACCAACCCCTATCCCCCTTCCCCAACTCGTCCGGAAGTGTTTCGTGCACAATTATACGTGACGTAGAAATCATTCGTAGATGAAAAACGGACGACCAGAAAGAGAGAGAGAGAGAGAGAGAGAGAGAGTGAGACAGAGAGAGAGAGAAAGAGTGAAAATAGAATAAATGAAAGAGAGGGAGGGAAGGGAGAGGCAGAGGTAAAAAGAGAAATAGAACGAGTGAGTGAGGGAGTGACTGAGGGAGTAAGTGAGAGAGTGAGAGAGTGAGTGAGTAAGTGAGTGAGAGAGAGAGTGAGTGAATGAGAGAGAGAGAGAGAGGGAGTGAAAATAGAATAAATGAAAGAGACAGAGAGAGAGAGAAAGAGTGAAAATAGAATAAATGAAAGAGAGGGAGGGAAGGGAGAGACAGAGGTAAAAAGAGAAATAGAACGAGTGAGTGAGGGAGTGACTGAGGGAGTAAGTGAGAGAGTGAGTGAGTAAGTGAGTGAGAGAGAGAGAGAGAGTGTGAAAATAGAATAAATGAAAGAGAGGGAAGGAAGGGAGAGACAGAGAGAAAAAGAGAAATAGAGCGAGTGAGTGAGTAAGTGAGAGAGTGAGAGAGAGAGTGAGTGAATGAGAGAGAGAGAGAGAGAGAGAGAGAGAGAGAAAGAGAAAGAGTGAAAATAGAATAAATGAAAGAGAGGGAGGGAAAGGAGAGACAGAGAGGAAAAGAGAAATAGAACGAGTGAGTGAGGGAGTAAGTGAGAGAGTGAGTGAGTAAGTGAGTGAGAGAGAGAGTGAGTGAATGAGAAAGAGAGAGAGAGAGAGAGTGAAAATAGAATAAATGAAAGAGAGGGAGGGAAAGGAGAGACAGAGAGAAAAAGAGAAATAGAACGAATGAGAAAGAGTGAGAGAGAATCTCTCCACTTTGCTCTCTTGCCTTACGTCCCTGTGACACAGTTTCGCACAATAGAGCAGTCTCCACCGCTTTTTACCCCGAGAATCTACCCCCCTTCGTCGCTCTCACAGTCGACGCCATTCTTTTCTCTCCTTCTTAGAGGGCCGCCACCACCACAAGCTCAGACTGACGTTCATTTTTAATCGTCCTTGCCTCTACAGTTTCGCGATTTCGTTGATACGAACGTATTAACACACTGAACGAATTGTAATTGAATAGAACAAGGTCTAATAAAGGACAATTTTAATTTAGAAGTAGAAGATAATGATGAAACAAATTGGATCACAGGACACAGTTGATCGAACGACACAAAAGTGCGTGGAAATGATCTAAAAAGGAACGCGATTCTAAGTGCGTTCTTCTATTCGACTTTTATTACCAGTACGCCGTATAAACATGGACGATAAACTTTTAATACAATGTTTTAAGGGAACGTAAACCTGATAAGAGCAAAAGTTATTTAAAAAAATAAGAAGGCAATGGGTCGTAAAAGACCCAAAGACCGCAGTAGGGTTAAGAAACGTCACGGGTGAAATAGCAAGCATGGAAAAAAGCATTTTCTTGGAGGAGTGATTTCTCGTTTATCGTTCGTTTTCTGCTCAACTGGGGTGAATTTCCACGGCGTTGAAAAGCGCAATATGAAACGTGAAAATCCGTCGATACATTCGACGCACTTACACATGCACACGTTGCTTTCTCGAGGCAGCCAATAGAGAAAGAGGACGTAGAAACGTCCCTTATGAAAGAAGATGCACGGATTCCGTAATTCCATTCAACTCACCCCTCTCTATCTTGCTTCTCTGTGAATGAGAAAATACCAAACGACAGAGCTTGGAAATATTTTTCGAATAAAAATTCGGTCGATATATCACAAAACCCGAGTTTCTCCAACTCCGTCAAATAATATTTATTAAATATAATTCATTTATGAAAAATTTAGCGCAAATTCTGTGCTTCTGTGTCAAAATTGGGAAAATTCAAAAAAATTTAAGCTAGTCAATTTCTCTATGCTTCAAATTTCGAAAGCTATTCTAATCGATGAATTTCATGCTGTATTAGCGAATTGTCTGATCGATCGATTTCTTTGTTCGACAGCCTTTGATTCTGTTCTGTTATTAATATAAAAACAAAAAGAGGTAAAAGGAGAAGGATTGTCTAATATCGATTTGACCCAGGGTCGAGAAAGTTTGAGGTTCCATTTTCATGGAAATATCCAAGCTTGGACGTGATTCTTATGATTAACAGTCTGGTTGAACTATGTAATAATTATAATGTTAATTTTAATTTACAACACCGAGAATGAACAAATTGTTAATTAAAATAAATATACATTGTACGTTAGCTCTCCTTATTTCACACAGTATTAAAATAATAAATAGCTTGCGTTTACATGCACAGTACCAGTAGAACAAAAAAATCGTAAGTCAGTGTAACAGAATTTTCTGAAATATTTTCACAAATTTCTTCATTTCATTTTCCTCAATGGAATCGATAGGACGATCGAAAATTTCGCGAGTAGAAGGAGAAAGTCTGGCGGGGCTGTTAAATCTGGCAAAATCATATAATCCTCAAAGCAATTTCTATTACGCCACGGAAATTGAATTACTATTCGCATTACAGGCGTGACCGACTTATTCGCTTAGCCCGGCCACCTGACATTTTCTTCTCTCTCTCTCTCTCTCTCTCTCCGTTCTTTTTTATTTGCCCGTGTCACTGAAATAAATTGCACTTACTAAGTGCTCGCGGAAGTAATTTTTACGCGAAGATATTGCGCTGTTATCGTTTTTCCACTGAGATGAGTTACAACTCCGAGAAAAGAGTGAAAAGATGAGAAAAATGCGGATAGACCCGTTTCTCTTCTTTTGTTCTTATCAATCTTCGTAACGAAGTGAAACGATACATGCATCAGGAATTTCGGGAGAATAATGGAACCTGGTTGTTTAAGTTTTCGGAAGATTTTCAATGAATTTTTTATTTTTGTTCCAATTATACAAATTTCTTTTTTATTTTATAAATTCGCTACAGATATCGAATTACCCTTTTCAATTCTAATTTTATCTAGAAAGTTTCGCATTTTTCCCCCTTTTTTTTTCTATTTTCGTTGAACAGTTTTCTTTCTGCTTCAACTAGCCATCATTTATCAAAATGACAGCAAATATTTAACTGTACTTTTTCCGATTTAATTTCACGCCAATCTTCACACTTTTTCTCCCCATGAAATACTTACAGAATCATTTAATCTTCCCCACTTTCAACTTTCAACCCTTCAATTACCTTTCACTTCCTAAAATGATAGAAAATATGAAATCGTCTTATTCTTAAATTCACAAAAATTATTCAATTTCTTCCGTACTTCGAAAAATATCCAATTACTTTGATCCAACCAACGTCACACGAACTTCCACAACACTTGTTCATCCCTTGAATGAAAAATAAATCATTCAACCCCCTTTTTGAAGAAAAAGAAATCTGGTGGGACAAGATGTGGACTATAAATTTTTCCTAACTTGAAACATTTTTCAATTTTTTCTTTTTTTATACTAAAATAGTTATAACAATAATCTTTGTCTCTTTGAATATTGCACGACCCTCGTATACCAAAAAATTAGCTCAACTTTTTCTGAATTAAAAAAAAAAAAAGAAGCGTCCCTGAAAAAGTCAGTTAAACTCCGAAAAGAAATCTCCATTTCCCTCTCCGCCTTCGTTTCACAGTCTGTCCAAGACACGCAGCCCCCGTTTCGCCGTTGTAAAAGCTGCTGTAACCTGTGTAACTCGATTAAACGAGGCATCGTCCGACTGGTATAGCCAGCAGGGGTTCACCAGGCCCGTAAAAAGGATACGTGAAAGTTGCGAAAAGCCGATAGTTCTCTGTCGTTAATTCCGCTTCGTTAGAGCTTCGAGCACGCTTCACGCGTGCCTTCCGAACGAGACAGAGCGAGGCAGAGAGACAAAGAGACAGAGAGAGAGAGACTCGAC